ACATTTAAGATGTAAACGTCTTTGTTTCCTTCTGGACAATTTCTTAACAACTTACTTTTAATCAATGGTAAACCTGGGCAGTTACTGAACCCTGAATTGGTCATAAGCACCCATCATGAGCTCCTTTCTGCGGTGCGATTATTGATCTCAGAGGATCAGTGTGAAGGAAGATTTGTATTTGGCCGCCAGGTCCTTAAGCTTACAAAGATGCCTGTTACGCCCATTACGAAAACACAACCAACATTGGTTTCAAGGACAGAGAGTGGACCTGGGGGTGATAATTCTAAGAGTCAGCTCCAAACACTGCTCACGAGGGCTGGATATGCAGCACCAATGTACAAGACAAAGCAACTGAAGAACAATCAGTTCCGGGCAACTGTGGAGTTCAATGGTATGCAGATCATGGGGCAGCCTTGCAGCAACAAGAAGAGTGCAGAAAAGGATGCTGCAGCCGAGGCTCTGCTGTGGCTGATGGGTGAGACGCAAGCAGGCCACGAATTTATGAATCACATGTCAATGATGCTGAAGAAAAGCAAGAGGCATTACTGAATTACCATGGTTTTGTCTCCCATTGAGGGCTTTGCAGGGCATATGAGCAGGGTACATATCCTCATAACCCTTTTGTTAATAGCATCAGCTCCCCCTTTGCAGGGAAACAAAGAAGCATCAGCGCCATCTGAAAGCCAGAAATCAGATGAAACTCGTATCTCCATCTTCAAATACTCCGATGCTCTACTAATAAAGAACCAAGTATGACAGATTTTGGTAGAATTTCTGGTTTTCATTGCATGCTAGGAAGTGATAAACACTACTTGTGACCTGCAGAATGACTATCAGTGCTGAGGTGCCTCTGGCTGACCTTTATCATCCATTTTACTCAAGTGATCCTGCATTAAAAGCAGTTGATGGGGCTCACAAGTCTGTCCGGAACAGTTGGACCTTCAACTATCACAGCACCAGCAAGTATTTATACTGGGTAAGAAACAGTAACTGTAGTTGAAATTTTGCATCCTTTTCAGCTACACAATTGTTTTGTACATTATCAGTTACATTGAGTGCTTGCTAAGAGTAGGCTTGCAATACCCAAGCAAGAACTAGAATTTCAAGCCTTCCATGCGTTGACTAGTTCTTTTCTCTTTCAGCCATTTCACTCAATTGCCTTGTTGTTATCTCCTATGGAAAGACCTTTTCATTATGAATAAAATTTTGTAGGGCAATCTAGTGGTCGAGTTTGTTTTTGCAAACCGTTTATTTCTCCGACTTCCATTGTTAAACAAAATATAATGGCAATTAAAAGCCTAGCCTTACCTGTACTACATCGTCTGTTTGCGCTTTACAGTGTCAATGCAATGTTGATATCACTTGCCTAAGGTCGTATCATTTTCATAATCCTCATCTGGGCTGGAGTATCTTGCTTTGGCCCACCTTGGAATCTGAAAAACTCTGAGTCCCGGTTTAGCTAAATGGGCATGAGATTTCTTCATCAAGGGGAGCCCAAGTTCTGAAAGCTGCTGAAAGAAAAAGGGTATCTTTCTTTCTTTCCTCCATTTTTTGTCTGGAAGGCAGCAACCTCAAAAGAGAAATGAAGAAAGGGACTAATAAGAGAGTGTAAATGTCCATGACCAAAGTTGACTTCATCCATGTGACTGCAATAAATAAATTAAAATAATAATAATAATAATAATAAATCGGAGATAAAACCGCTGACACCAATCACGTAAAAAATTGGCAATTTTTTTTTTCTTTCTTTCTTTCTTCCCTTCCCAATAGCGTTTTTTGTCCTCTAACACCTCCCCTCAAACAACTCACTCCCGTTGCCATATAAATTTTAAAACCTCCTTTTCCAATTGTTTACAAAAAAACTGACGATCATGAAATATCGAATATTTTAATAAATTAATAACATTTTTTTTTCTCTTCAAAATCTTTGAATAAGAAATATAACTTAACTATCTAAAAACTTAAATCAATTTTGAAGAAAAAAATTCAAAACCCATTTTGCCAATTTCAACTAGTTGAAAATTTTACTAACAACTATTTGGGCTTAAACAAAAACGTTGCCATTATTCTTAATAAATAAGGAGAAGGAAAGGGAAGTTAGGATAAATCCTAAATTGTCATTTCAGCCCAACTAAAAAATGATTTCCTTGAAAAATATTGAAAAAATTCAAAATTGTATTTGCTGATACTAAAGTGATATTGTGGTAATCTCTTCTCTAATAGAATAACAAAATTCTAAATTTAAGTAGTATGTGTATGGATAAAGGGAGTAAAGAATGAAATTTTACAACATATAATAACAAAAAAAAAAAAAAAAAAAAAAAAGAGGGAAAGAAAGACCAAAAGAAAGAAGAGGAGGAAGAAGCCTATAAACAAGCAGCATTAAATCGAATGCATCCCAAATTCCAATATATGTCATATCAAACCAAAAATTGAAGCAGTAAGATTAACTTATATTGATCCACCCCATACTGGCATACTTAAACAGAATTTTTTTTTTTTTTTTACAAATATAAAAATGTAGAGGAGGACCGTCCTCGAAATGCGACGAGGGATATTGGTGTCGGGAGGTAGGGTTGGGGTAAGTAGGTAAAATAAATTTGAAAGGATCGGAATCTGGGCATATGGGCATGAGACACTCTGCCCCCTTCCTTGTCCCACAAACCACAAATATTGGACCTCTTCTTCCCATTAAATTAACATTTTTTTTTGGTGCAGATGAAAAATTCGAGTCAGAAAAACCAAATGCCCATTGTCTAGAATTTCATCATCCTCAAAATCCTGTACTTTGGTCCCCTTAAAACATTGGAAATCCAGAGTGCGTATGAGCGTGTCGGGGGTGGCATCGATGGTGAAATTTGAAGTGACAAAAGCTGAGAAACTGCTTCCGTTTTGGCCCCAATTGCGTTCCTGTTTTCAGAAGTATTCTATGTGGAGGGTTTTGGAGCGGCAACTGGGGGGACACTATTAGTTTAATTATGGGTTTTGTTAGTGGGAAGTTTTGATCATGTCTGATGCGAAGGCTTGTCTGAAGAAGATAAGTAGATAACATATCTTTGTTTGTTTTGATGTGATGACGATGATAATAAGCAAAGATAGGGATATATAGAGCATATACTTTGTGTTTATGCCTTTGTGGTGGAGACATTAAGTTTGAACCCCAGTTAATATGATTGAACCAAGTTTTGCTTGGATTTTGTCTAATGTATCATTGTTCTTAGCTTCCTTTGGTCCGTAGGGTAAGTTTAGACACCTGTCGTATAATCATAATCTTTCTTTCAATTTCAATTTGGCACTCAGTTTTCAACCTTTGATTTTTTCAAAATAAAAATTTAATTTTAAGTTGCATAATAAAAAGATAATTTTCTCATATTTTATAATTCATTCTATTCAACATATCATGTAATTCAAAATTAAGATTTCTTATTTTCATTTGAAAGAGATTTCCAACAAGATGTTTAGGTAGTTAGTAGTTTGTAAGTTTCTTAACACATTTATTAATTTTTTTGGGTAAAATACGCATTTAGTTAAACACAAGTCATTTATGTTAAGGGGTAAAATTTCACATGAAAATATAATAAGAAACATGTGTAATTTAAATATAAAGAGAATTACTCTATCTACCCAAATTGGTTTTAGATTAATTGCAAATTTTGTATTGAAACACACATACCCAATTATCACAATTTATCATACTATAAAGAAATTCACAACAAAAAATTGAGAATATTCCATTCATTTTGTAAATTTAATAATATCAATGTTAGATTATCTATGAATATGGTGTATGGAGTACTTGGTATAATAGTTTGAAACTAACAACTAATAATTTCAAGACCCACGAGCAAGTGGATGAGTTGCAGGGAACTCTTTTAGCTTAATTAAAGGTTTTGATTTTAAATTCTGAGAATGCAGTTTCGTAAAACTCGTGAGGGAGAGTTTTGTTACCTGCTGGATCCTGCCTGATTTGAATTCGGATTAATAGGTGGTCCAGTGAGTTTCTGGATACCAGGTGATCCACAAAAAAAAAAAAAAACAGTTAAGAATTTCAGGTAATCTGATAGTTAATAATTATTGTTAATAATTCATATATTTTTATTTATTGATTAAATAAAATCACTAATCATTAGTGTTAAATTGTTATACTAAATAATCTCATAAACAAATATTGAAGTAGTTATTTCATAAAAAAAAAAAAAGGAAAAAATATAGCTCAAAGCTAATAAACAATTAAAAATGTTTATCTACTGGTGAAATTCTTTTAATTTGGACTTTCGAGCTAAAGATTTCAAAGTTATCAACGAGTACCAATATACCTAAACTCTAAGATACCAATTGATATTCAAATAATTTGGCATGCTCCTCTTGGCACCAGTAGTCAAAAGAAACGGAAGCAATCTCACTTTACCATTAAACTCATGTTTTAAATGGAAAAAGATAAAAAAACATGGAGGGCAAGGAATGGGGTTGTTAGGAATTTAATTCCTAAAGTTCGGTTTGGAAAATTCCACATGAGCTGTGTTGTGCACATGGAACAACTACCTAAGTGGAGCCATCTTGTGCAGTAGCTTAAGACAGGACCTCAAGTGGAGCCACCCCTTAATAATTATTGATAAGGACCTTTCTTATTTTTGTGTAAGTTTAATAATTTTTATATTAATTTTTAGTTATGTATTTTTAATTCTAAGAAATTATATTTAATTAAAATTTTAAATATTAAATTAATTATTAAAATTTTAAAATGAATAGTTAATAATTAGTATAATACTTACACCGTAGTAAGTTAATCATGATTCCCATGAAATTTATTGATTAGGATTCTCAGAAAAATACAACTATCTACAACTCAATATTCCATTCCCCCAGCTGGAATTTCTCTCTTTTTTTTTTTTTTTAAGCCAATCCCAGCTGGAGCATTGATTCACCAACTTTTTTTTTTTTTTGAGTATCTTTTTTTTTCATAATTTATCTTCTTAATTTAATTCTGGTTGAAAGATTTACAGTGCATAATAGAAGTATTGTTCCCTCACTCGCGGAAAGGTCACTGACACTGTACACTAGTAAAATGGACTATATCATTGGATGGATATTAAAATACCGAAATGATCTTTAAACTTTAAGGCTGTCATCATTTTGGTTCCTGAACTTTTGAAAGTATTGAAATGGTCCTTGAATATATTTTTTATAACTATTTTTTTGTATAATTTTTATATATCATTAAATAAATAGATGTATATATTATTATGAGTTTCAATTAAGTAAAAATAATCTATTATTAAATAGTATATAAGGTTGTATGAAAAGTTACAAGTTTGTTTCTCAATTATTTTCCTAAAAATTTATTTTCTAATAAAAAATCCACATCATCATAATATGCAGTTTTTATCTTTTGCCATGTAATTTTTTTAAAAATAAAAAATAAATTTTTTGATGATTTAACAAGCCATACCATCTTTCTATTAACAAGAAGGAAAAAAAAAAGTATTCAAAAAACATGTTTAGGGACTATTTTGATACTTTTAAAAGTTTAAGAACAAAATCAAGAAAAAAAAATTAAGGTTTATGAAACATTATAGCATTTAACTTAATTAAAGTAGATGAAGAAGAGAAAAGTGTGACGATATGCATATGATTACAAGCTTAGCACAGCACGACATCCAAAATCCCATATCTTAAATTGATTTTCCAATTATTAGTCAAATACAACTGCATCCAAAAAGCCATGTGATTGAGAGAGAGATAGGAGAAGAAAAGAATAGAATTGATTCAAATCTTAGTCAAATGAAGGGGATAATGTTAGGATATCATCATTCAAAAATGATTCCATCAATCAAAAAGATATGATGCTTTTCCTCTCAAAGAAAAAGAAGATAGAATTCTTAAGCGTGAGAGCAACGCCCTTTCTGATATTCTTTTTATAATCACAGTTACACGACACATAATAATTATGTGATTAATGATTAATAATAAAAGTCAAATAAACATAGTTAAATTATACTTAAAACTTATCACTAGTCATGTGCTGATATATATGTATATGTTTCAATTAAGATAAATAATTTTTTTGGATATATTTGATGATAATTTATATAAGAGAGAATAATCCTTATTATTTTTCAAATCCTTCTCTATTCAACTCAATATTCAAATATAAAATTTTTAATTTAAAATCTCAAAATTTTAATCAATTGAACCTCATTAGGGCATTAAAACAAATAATTAATTTATAGGAGAGAATATTAAATTTGGAGGATCTAATAATAAGTGAATATGTAAATATGGCAGATATGTAAAGTTGTGAGTTTTTGATTTATGAATCAAGATTTTTTAAAAAAAATATAAAAATAAATAAATAAATAAAGGGAGTGCAAAAAGAAAATGTTAGGAGGAATAATGTTAACAGTCTTAAAAAGTGTAGGGGGTGGTTTACTGGGGGTGATTGTGGCCCATGCCATCATTTATGAAGTGATTAATAAATGTTGAAATTTGTAAATTGTAATAGTACCCCTGGGAATCTCTTAATTCTCTTTTGTCGTCCACCATCCTTTTCGACTTGTCCCTTTTATTTTATTACCCTTTGGTTTCGTGCTGGTCCAAAGACCATTTCTTTGACCATCCTTCTGCCTTTCCTTTTTTGTACGGAGTACAAATTTAATCATATTTTCTTTCTCTTTCTCCTTATGATCTTTTAGGGTGTCTCAAAGACATTTAAAATATTCCGAAAAAAAGAGTTAGGTTACTCTTAATTTAATTTGTGTGCGACTACCTAAATCCTCTTTGAGTAAACTCTATCAGCATGATATATTTTTTTAAAAAATTAATTAAATTAAATTTTAAGCTTATTTATATATGAATTAACGTTTACTTATACTAACCTTTTCAATTTTTTAATATTCAAGAAACTTTGATGTGTTTGTTTGTTTGTTTTACATACATATATGTAAATATATATCTTACTAAGCATCAAGGAAAGGGTTTGTGCAATTATTGAATCCAGTAATCATAACACAAACTTTGCCTAATTGGCTCCGAATTAGTCAAGGATCAATTTATCCCAAAAGATAACCTAGCTAGATTGCTTTAGTGCTACTATAGCCTAATATATGGAGCATTGTCAAAAGCATGCTAATAGAAATTGGTGTTACATACTTTTAGTAAAAAGAAAAAAAAATATTGATATATATCTCATTTAATTCAATGCACTTTATAATATATTTATTAAAAATTATTATATTTTAGTTTAGAATTATAAGAAAAAAAAACTTAAAATTACAAATTTTAATATTAAATTATGAGTATTAATGGATATGTTGAATCAAATGATGTACTAATCATTTTCTACAAAAAAAAAAAAAACATAGCATGGGGTATAATTTGATAACATCATGATTAGTATTCCTAGTCAAAAACAAGACACATAATTAAGCATTGCTTTTTTTCTTTTAAAGACAATTAGATTATTTTTTTATTAGTTTTTATGTATCTTGAGATTAATATTTTCACTAACAATTTTAAGAGCAAACCTACCGTATCGGCTTGGTATATTCAACAAAATTAATTTTTTAATAATTTATTTAGTTTGAGAGGAGGGGATAAAATTTCCTATTTAGATAACAAAAATTGGATTGGAAGAGAGGGGAATGAAGGAGAGGAGCTTTACTTTATTTTTCTTTTATAATTTTAGTTACAACCAAACAAGAGAAAAAAAGGGGAGGGGGAAACGAAGAGAAATTGAGGAATATTGCATCCTCTTCTCCCTTAGTTGTTTTTCTCAAACCAAATAATAAATATTGATTTTAAAACTTAAAATTTAAAGATTAAAGTAGATTTATAAAATAATAATTATTTATCAATGAATTTAATCATTAAGATTCTTGCTTCTTGATTACCCTGGCTAAGGCCCATCTTACTAGCTAGTGTTAGAAAACAATCTGAATCCAAGTGCCTAGTATTCGGTTTTTCACTCTACAAATTTTGGTGGTTTTGATTACATCAAACTAATGAACTCTTAATCAACTCTCCATCCATATAAAATATAAAAAAGCAAAAACAAGAATTTTAAAAGCTTGCTTGTGAGCCAAAACACAAAGAAATGGAGCATCACATTTAAAATATAAAATTTTCATTAAAGTAAAGCACTTGTCCTACATTTATGACAAACATATTTATATTATTATTTTAATATAAAATTTTTCCAAATTTAACACACCAATAATAGAATGAGTTGGATTCAAAATATTGATATCTACTAGAATCTAGTAGTAGTATTGAAGAAGATGCAAGTGCTTGATTTTAAATACTAACATCATTTAAACTCTGAGGAATTCAATAAAAAACTTGAAATAACTAACACCATGCATGAGTGACTGTCACCCGTTTATTATCTCTTTTGTTTGACTAATTATTATGTATCCAAAAGGATGAAAATTTGATAGTGACAAGACATTTTCTAGTCTCAGAAATAGCTCCTACCTATATCCTGTCAAATTGAACGATTATTTCCATTACTATCACTGACTGATCATCTACTATGTACCATCCAAGTATTAATTATGTATACTTTTT